GTAACCTTGTCTGGCTCCCACATTTTTGCTGTTCTTAGCAGTCCTTGTTCTGCATTTTCTGTCCTATATACTTTGCTTACAAATAGTCTTGATGGGTCTTTGAACACACTTTATGTCTTGTATTTGACACTTATCAACTTAAGCAAGGGTGTGAAGGAGAACTTGAAAAAGTCAGTACTTTTAGCAGATTTTCCAAGTGAAAAAAAATAATTTTAAGAATAATTAATAACTATTTAAAGTAAATAGTTGAAATGTTCAAAAATGAATTTAGATTTTTTCCAATTACAAAAGTTAACTACATTTGTGATATCCATAAAATCACTAATTGTCCTTAAGCTAAAGCCTTTGATTCCAGTGAATTTTCAATACAAGTTCTTAAACAGCAGATTTCTAATTTATGGTTGTTATTTATGCATCAACAGAGCCAAAGTTATAATATTCCTACACTGAAAATATATTTCTAATGGATACTTACCTCTCTCACATAACAGCTTTTCCCATTCAGTGATGCCCTCTATATGCACATTCTACCTCCACTTGTTTACAAGTGGTACAGCCCTCCACCAATAGGAGTGCGACCCAAACTCCTGGTGTAGCTGACTCCCTCAATACTGTAAAACCCAGTCTTCACTTCAAGATTTAACATCAAAGAAGCACCAGAAGTGGGGATGACAGGTGGGAAGTGTGAGAAGTATCAGAAATACATTTTCAGTGTAGGAAAATTATAACTTCCAATATAATACCTTACATGATAGCTAGAATCCCATAGTGAACTGATGGAGAGACTGTTGCAAAATTTTCCTTGATGAGCACCCTTCTGGAAGCATCCAAAGAGAGCACTTGGAGTGTGAAACCTTAATGTAGAAGGACAATGCTCCACATCTGTATCTGGTATACTATTTGCCCATTGTGAAGATACATGTCTCTAAACTGAGTGAAGAAAACAAACATCCAATGTGTAATTGGACACGTCAAATGGTGTTGAGAGGCTAGGACACACCAGACCATATTTGGTGGGTCAACTCCAGTCCAAAACCAGTTGGCATTAGGTATTTATTGTCCAGTCTGCATGAGCAGGAGGGTCCCTACTGTTTTCACCTCCAGACAAGGAAGCAGAAAGAAAAACAGCTTCCATCCTACCATCCTAGCCAGAGTATGTGTGCAGACACGGTACACAACAACCAACACCAGGCCACCAGGTATCCTGACATCCGAGCGATGGTAGAAAGGGGGAATGTAACATGGTTGGTTAACTCTAGTCAAAACCTGGCAGTGTTGGAAATTTATCATCCAGTCCACAGTAGGAGCAGGGTCCCTACCAGTCACACGTGTGAAGACTTACATTGGCTGATCCTGCTCTAATCCAACACCAGACCACCCAGGAACCAACATCCAGGCAAAGATATAATGAAAGATCCCAGCAGGAGAGGTGATCTGTATGTGGTGAATCATCTTCAGTCCAAAATCAGGCAGCATTGTAAATGTTTCATGTAATTTACACACCCAGGAAAATGCTTCCACCACCCCAGCAGCTAGGAGCTGGTATGTGGCAAGTACTCTCATACTCCACACGAAGAAAGGGAATAATGTTGTGGGGAGTCTGTAGGAATACAACACCAGAGAAAGAAAGTACAATGGATGACCATGAAACTATATTTTTAAAAACATGCTGGTCCCAATTTATTCAACCAGGATCAGAGGGATGGGCAGCTATCCTGACACTGCTTTATTCATGATAGTCCATGAGTCGGTACAGTCTGGGACGGACTTTAATTATGAAGCAAAACTCTAACAGTCTTGGTGTAACACCCCATTTAGACAGTGAGCGTTACAAACCTATTGGCCATACAGTGCAGATTTATGGATTAGTATACCTGGACAGGCACCACTTGCCACAGAGCAGGATCCAGTGAGTAAAATGTGCCACTGTAACGGAATTAAACAGAAAAATACATACCCACTCACAGTTGAACTGAGGTGAGTAGAATGGCAATGGGTGGTATTTGATATCCTGAGGAGGAGATGGCCACCTGATGAAGATAATGAGTGAGGAAGGTGTGTGGTCTGGTCCACATGCCAGCCTAATGGGCAATGGAAGATGTCAGCCAGGGAGAAGGTGAGACAACAGATCTGGTGCAAGGATACCTGGAAAATATGATGGGAATTGGGAGACAAGGAAAAATAGGCCAACCAAATAAGTTGGTGAATATAATCTGTAAAGGTGACAAGGGAAACATCTCAGGTAGAGGAAGGGGTTCCAATGGAAAAACAGGCGAGAACAGGAACTACAGAAGGAAGCCATACACACAATATAGCACTGGAGAGCATGAACAGAACAGAAAAGATGAACCAGACAAGAGCAGGAATAGAAATGGGAAATGGAAGAGGGTGAAATAAGTGTGAATTTGACATCATCTACATGAGCTGCCAACTTCTTGGGGAAAAAACTATGATTCAGATACAGGAGGACAAAAGTGCAGTGGTAAAAGACACGTGAAACATCAAGGGCAAAAATGGAGAGAATCTTGTCGGGATGAGACAAGTGATCTACAACAGGATTCAGAGCATCCAGGACATGTCAGTAGGTGTATGTGACATGAATGTGCCCAAAAGAGGAGTTCCAACATTCAAAAACAAAGTGAATATGAACAGGTGCCCCCTTGCTGGTTGATGTAAGAAACAACAGTTGAATTGTCAGAAAGGATCATGACCAATTTGCCTCGTACCAAAGGTAGAAAATGATCCAAAGCTCGATGAATGGCAAATAGCTTTGGAAGAGTGATGTACAGAGCCAATTCGACCAAATACCAATAACCTGTGATCTCTAGGTAATCCATAAATACCCCCAAAACCATCAGAGAAATATCTATAAAAAGATGCAACTTGAGAATGGGAGGCAGAAGAGGAATGCCAGCTGTTGTGTGGTCCACGTTGAGCCACCAGGCTAAATCAACATGTAGTGAGAGAAGGAGAAGGATAACAGAGTCCAAGGAACCTTGAGCAAGATTCCATTGATCAAGCAACACCCACTGAAGAGTGCACATGTGAGCATGACAAAAGGGAATAAGGGCTTTCATGAAAGCCCAAGTCCCCAAAAGAGATAGAACCTCGCGTGCAGGGAGAGGACTGAGCTGTGAGAACTAATAGCTTCATCTATCTCAACCAGAAAGGAGAAGGCTGGGCCTGACTAAGATAGGAGTTGAAGAGCACTAGCAAAAGGATGAGGTATGAGGTTAGGATGAGTAAGGGCTTTTCCAACATAACTAGCCAACTCACACAAGCAGCCTTTCAGAGAAGTAAATGTGTGTACAAATGAGATGTTTGTTGGGATGAAGCTAAAAGCACCCGGTCATCCATATACTAGTGAAATTGCTGACAGTGAGAATGAAGAAGATGGGCAAAAGCCCTGACCACCTGAAAGAATACATATGGTGCAGACCAGACTAAACAGAAGAGTGTGGAATTGATATACTCGACCTTTGTGGACAAAAAAGTAATGTCTGGATGTCAGGGAAATAGGAATGTAAAGGTAGGCATTTGTCATTCAAAGACCTGGAGAGTGGGAATTTTCAGATCAACATACAATCTCAAGTTAATGTAGGTATTCCACAAAATCTTTAAAAATAAAAGCAAACACAAGTGAAAATTAAATACGTCTGCACTCTAGTAGTGAAGATAGAGTTCTACAGTACAGAGGGAGTCAGTCAGCTGCACCATAAAGGTGTTTTGCACTCCTACGGGTGGAGAATTGACACGTGCTTATTTGCATGCTACAGTTCAGCTGTACCAGGAGTGAAGGTATCAAGACTAGTGGCAAGTGGAAATTGTGTATATACAGGTCAGCATTCAATGGGAAAAGCTATTACATGAGAAGAGCTAAAGTATCATATCTGAACCTATTGTCTCTTTATGTACCATGAAAATCACAACCACTGTGTCATGCTTTTCTATTGCTCATCTACTATGTCTCACTCTGTTTATTGAATATCAGAAGACAGCTTTAATTTAACAAGAAAACCTGTTGCATGTGCTTATTTTAAATTGAATTTAATGAAAAGTTTTGCATCAAAGTTTTATGTTATGTTACATTAGAAAGAAAGAAAAACTGTATTCTGTAATATAAATATTTATTCACTTCCACTTTCATGACAAGTATATGTAAATATATCTGGCACTGGGTGTGATTTTACATAGCTTTTTATAGTTAACACTTTCTTAGGTTATAATAATGTGTTTTCCCTTGTTGAAAACAAGTCACATTATTAGTAGTGTTACTTTAACTGAACTTTACTAAGCACTAGAACTTGTAGTAATAGTAATCAAGGGGAAATATTTACTCATCCTAAGTACAAATTACAACCAATAATTTAGTTCTACATGTGCTATCTATGTTTATTTAGTTGTGGTCTGTGGCAGTTTTTTGTGAAGAAAATTCCTACAATTAGGTGAAATCCCAAGCACAGTATTTAAAAAAGTTTATTGCAAATTTAAATTCTAATTAATTAAATTGGTACTGAATACAAAAATATATCCACTCATGATACAGACTGAACAAAAATGCCAAGGGTGCCAACCTCGCACTCATCTCATTCTTGCTAAGGACACCCAGTAGGGCCTAACACTAACAGTAACATGTAGCAGTTAGTAACAGTACCACCACCAAAAAATGTTTGTTATACACTACTTTAGTTCAAGGTCCAAGAATCTTTGGACCTGGACTATAATTATAGTGATACAAGTAGTCTTTCTACAAATTATAATTTCCAGTGCTTCTGTAAACTTAGTACTACTAATAATAGCATTATAGGTAATACTAATATAGTTATTATTTAACTACTACTACTACTAGTATACTGTATAGCATTAGTAGTACTACTGCAAGTGCAAGTACTGGGCATTTTCGACAATATTCAAATAACATGCCATGTGTGGAAAACTTTACAAGTTAGTTAAACTCGTTACATAATGTATTCAAACCACCATAAATAGATTTTACTTACTTGCATTTTCCTAAGACATGATTTATCTAATTCCTCAACCATGGAATTTACAGCTTTCTGAACACGTGCTTGTGCTTCTTGCGCCATTTTTAAGGCAACGCTATCTATTTTACAAAACTAGATTTAGTTTTCGTTTTATGATAAATCGCAAAATTTATCGTAAAAATATGAAAATAAAACAAAAAACAAACTCAGTTCCTTCACAAAATAATAATATAAAAAAGTTTATATGATGAAAATTTTAGATTTATTTGCAATACGTATTTTTTTATGAATAAATTCTATTAAGACAGAAACAGTTATTACAGGTACAGTATATCGCTATTCCGCTATTCGCCTGTTCTTCCGCACTTTTATTTTAGTTTTAGTTTAATTTTCGAGTTGAAATTTATTTCATAAAAAAAAGCTTTATTTATTTGCCTTCAAGCAAAAACTCGCAAATTTAGCTTTTAGGTTGACCTCACCGTGCTCCAAACGAAAATATCAATGTTTGTGAATTTCCATTTTGTTTCTGATCGTAATACGGCACACATAATTTACCAGAAGAAATAGTTTTAACTAAAATTAATTCAAATTTAAACCTTGTAACTTCAACACAATTGTAGTTTCATTGACTTTTAGCCAATCGCTGTTTCTCATCCCCAGTTTCCGTTTTATAATGCAATTTTACAGATAAACGCAGAGAGCTAAAAATATTTCTGTATTTATTTCTGAAATAGGACGTTTTGAGTTATCACTCTTCGTCAAATCGCAAAGCTTAGAACAAAAGAACATGTGTAAAATTTTCAAATTATGTGCGCAGTATCTTGAACGTTGATTTATTAAATTCTTTGAAAATTACATCTTTTACATAAATATTATACGATTCATAAATAAAATAAAAGGAATAAAAATGCGACAATGGAATGTAGGTTAAAATACAATTGAAAAAATTACAGAAAAGAAGTTATTTAAGAAAGAAAAACATTAATTTAACCCAGAAAGTTGTATAATTCCTGTGTTGTAGATTAATTTCCTTTCTAGTCGATTTCTTTTGTAAATATGTCTGTTAGAACATATAAAAATCCCAGAATCGAAAAGGCCTCAATTTTATACTTATTACTGGTGAAATGTTTGCCCATAGGTGCATCTTAGATGTCCACGTGCTCGATTATTGAATCAGCGTCCTGTTTGTCCAGTGAATAAACTGTGTTACGTCTCCGTTTGTTAATTGATTTTTCCGTAACT